TACATCTATACTATATATTTCACAAACTTTATAACACTTATATAATGCTCGCTGGAGTATAATTCTTCAAGTATACTCACACACAAAGTTACAAATATTAATATACACCAAATTCATACAGGGATTATAGCTTTGTTCTATATCCCACAAACATATCATACTTGTTTTTCTAAGGTAATAATACCCACTGGAGTCTAATTATCACAGGTAGTCCAACACTCGGAGGCAGGCATAATTAATATCAATATAAGAGTATCAAGTGGTAACGCTGCTCATTAATCCAAGCATACATCATCATTCATACAGACAATACAACACTCGTGTATTTTGACAACAACTATGCCAGTGGATATTTTGTTACCGGAACTGCACACTCTTCCATCTCCTCTACCTACCTCCTCCTCTTCCCTCCTCCCTTTACCTCCATTCTCCCCACTCCCTTTCTCTCTCCTCTCCCTTTCTCCTCCTCCTGCTTCTCCCTCCTCCTCTCCTCTCCCCTTCTCCTCCTCCTCCCTCTACCTTCCTCCTTCTGCTTCTCCCTCCCTCCTCTACCTCCCTTCTCCTCCTCCTCCCACTCTACCTTCTCCTCCTCCCTCCCACCTCCTCCTCCCCACCCTCCTCCTCCTCCCCCCTCTCCTTCCTCCTCCTCCTCCTCCCTCCTCCTCCTCCCCCAGCAAGCATAATTAACATTAAAAAGATAAATCCAGGTTACCTTTGTTGTGTAAACGCTCAGTAGTTTCTCACGGTATAAAGGGGAGCTCTGGCTTGGCACACCTGTATACACCTGTTACTATGATACCTTAATTAAGAGGTCAGGTGAAATTATGATGGTTTGTGTCTTCTTGTGGCTGGTGTGTGTGTGTGTGTGTGTGTGTACAGATTTCATAGCTTACAGCGTCTTACAAAACCCATACACACACACACACACCACACACACACACACACACACACTGAGAAGAGCGGTGAGAATAACATTATTAAACCCGCTTCAGGTAAACACACAGTAATGCTATATAATTCAAGAGACTTATTATTCATTAACTTTCTCTCTCTCTGGGTTAATAGTCATTCAGTAGTGATGATATAACTTCTACCCTATATCACCTTGTGTTTAATACTGATAAGATATTCACTAATACACACCATCCACGCCCACACCACGCCCACACACACCCACGCCCACACACACCACACCCACACACACACACCCACGCCACCTGCCACCCACGCCCACATCACCCACCCACCCACACACACACACACACACACACACACACACACACACACACACACACACACACACACACACACACACACACACACACCATCCCACGCCACCTGCCACACACACACACACACACACACACACACACACACACACACACACACACCATCCCACACACCTGCCACTCACACACCCACACACACACACCATCCCACGCCACCTGCCACCCACGCCCAAACAGATCACCCCACCTGCCACTCACACACCATCCCACGCCACCTGCCACCCACGCCTACGTCCTGAATGAAAAAGGAACATTTGTCATACGCCTATGACTGACTGATTACTAGATGGAAACTATTAATTTCTCCGTCATGGCCGTCAAAACTTGTTGTGTACAGGTGTGTGTGTGTGTGTGTGTGTGTGTGTGTGTGTGTGTGTGTGTGTGTGTGTGTGTGTGTGTGTGTGTGTGTGTGTTTACATGAGTCGGCCTATGGTGGCATGTTATTGTTATAGTGTTCTTATATCACCTGAAGATTAACCACCCTATCTATTTATCTATCTACCTACCTCCCATATCTATCTATCTTCTCTCTCTATCTCTTTCATCTATCTTCTCTCATCTATCCCTCTATCCACCAAGCTCTCTCTACCCGCCTGTCCATCTATTTACCTGTCTAGATAGATGAAAATGGAACACGTATAGACTAATGGAAAAATATATTGAGGGGAGGTGGGGGAGATAGAAGGAGGAGAAGCGACTAATAGAGAGAGAACATGATAAAAGAGAGATAATGGAGGACAAGGTGATGAAAGGAGAGAAAAACTAGAAAAGAGAGCAGCAGACAGAAAACCCTCTCTTGCTGATGCCATACTCAGGGCTTAGCTGACAGTATAGCAAACGCCACTTTTATATATGTACGCTGTCTTGTGGAGGCGTCCGTCACTGTCTGTCTGTCTGTCTGTCTGTCTGTCTGCCGTCTATCGGGAAGAAAAATGACCTGATTCACTTAGAACATGTCGACGTGTGTGTGTGTGTGTGTTATGCAAACTTGTTGATTCATACACGCTTGTTTACTTAAATACACACACACACGTACACGGACACACTTAACTCTCTCTTAAAGGCAAAATATCTCCCTATCTTCTCCTCTGTAACAAGCCGTGTTGTCACCTGTCTCCACAATTGTAACACGACACCATTGTAACCACTGTTATCTACCCGCATTGTTATGTAACCGAGTAGAGTTCAGACATCAGGTGCCAATGTAGCATAGTTTACCACTGTATTGTATACCCAGTGTTGTTGTGTAACCTCTCCTCTCCCTAGTCCTTCATCCCTTCTCTTCCTTTCTTCCCCTCCTTTCTCCCCTCTTCACCTCCTCCCCCTTTGTTTCTCTCTCATTCCTTTCCTTCGTCTTCTCTCCCTTCCTTTCTTTTCTCCATTCTACCCTCCTCCCCTCTCTCTCTCTCTCTCTTCTCCCCTCCCTCCCTCCCCTCTCTCTCTCTCTCTCTTCTTCCTCCCTTACCCTCCCCCCCCTCTCTCTCTCTCTCTCTTCTCCCCTCCCTTACCCTCCCCTCTCTCTCTCTCTCTCTTCTCCCCTCCTTACCCTCCCCTCTCTCTCTCTTCTCCCCCCTTCTCTCTCCTCCTCCTCCCCATCACGAAATATTATTAGACAGGTAGGTTGGGTGGTATGAGTGGAACAGACAGGCAGACAGACAAGGGTATTGACAGACAGACAGGCAGATAGACGGAGTTAGTATACATGTATGTATTTCTGTATTCATTAAGATGTTTCAATAGTGGAATAAAGGCGTTTACGTTACAGAAAGAGCAGGAAAACTGTATTTGAAACCGTCAGTTGTATTTTTAGGTTACAGAGGCCGCAGGATAGGTTAGGTTAGGCTAGGGGGATAGGATTAAATATTTGTCCTTCCAACTCCAGTAAAGGATAGTAAAAATAGACACATCCTGAAGACATGGGGGGGAGTGGGGCCCCTACTGTCTGCCACCCACGGATGGTACCAACACCTGCTGATAGTGCCAACACCTGCTGATAGTGCCAACACCTGCTGATAGTACCAACACCTGCTGATAGTGCCAACACCTGCTGATAGTGCCAACACCTGCTGATAGTACCAACACCTGCTGATAGTACCAACACCTGCTGATAGTGCCAACACCTGCTGATAGTGCCAACACCTGCTGATAGTGCCAACACCTGCTGATAGTGCCAACACCTGCTGATAGTGCTAACACCTGCCGATAGTGCCACCACCGCTGATAGTACCAACACCTGCTGATAGCCAACAACACCCGCTGATAGTACCAACGATCGTCGATAGTACCAACACCTGTTGATAGTGCCACCACCGCTGATAGTGCCAACACCTGCTGATAGTACCAACACCTGCCGATAGCGTGCCAACACCTGCCGATAGTACCAACACCCGCTGATAGTGCCAATACCTGCCGATAGTACCAACACCTGCTGATAGTGCCAACACCTGCTGATAGTGCCAACACCTGCCGATAGTGTACCAACACCTGCTGATAGCCAACACCTGCCGATGCGCCCAACACCCGCTGATAGTGTGCCAACACCTGCTGATAGCACCGCCGATAAAGCCAATACCTGCTGATAGTGCCAACACCTGCTGATAGTACCAACACCTGCTGATAGTGCCAACACTGCTGATAGTGCCAACACCTGCTGATAGCTCAAATAATTCTGCTGATAGTGCCAACACCTGCCGATAGTACCAACACCTGCCGATAGTGCCAGACCTGCCGATAGTGATTCAACACCTGCTGATAGTGCCAACACCTGCTGATAGTGCCAACACCTGCCGATAGTACCAACACCTGCTGATAGTGCCAACACCTGCTGATAGTGCCACCAGAGGCAGACAGACAGACAGACAGACAGACAGACAGACAAACATATACCAAGCTTTAAAATGTTTCATAAGTAATCATAACTGAGAACAAATTTATTTTTTTTCCATTTATTTTCCATCAACTTTTAAATAACCTCTGGCCTTAGTTTAATACTCCTAGACAATTGTAAATACATTCGAATAAATTGTTAATATATTCTAATAAACTTGTAAATACATTCGAATAAATTGTTAATATATTCTAATAAACTTGTATGTAATCTATAATTCATATTTATACAGTGTTATATAATACCGCCTGATGATAAAACATATTGTATTTTATTTATAACAATTTAATCATAACAGGATATCAGTTTCTCTACTTGATATATTTGTTGTCAATATTATGGCCATAGACAATTTTTTTTCGTTATATTTGTCTTATTTTGTCAATATTTTCATTACTCTCGAACGTAAAGTAACGAAGCGTGAAATTTTACAACGAAATATTTTACGTAAAGGGAAATTTTAGCACTTTTTTCCCCTCTGAGGTTATTTTTTTTTCCTCTCTTAATGTAATTGGAGTGAACTGAGGTGTAAGACCCCTATTTTATATGCCCTATATTGTGGTAAGACGTAGCTATTGAATTTATAGTCTGGTCTTACCCTATTTATGGATCTCATTTGAATATTTGTAAACACTATTTTTTTTTACCTATTATTGCATTTTTTCTCTGACAAAATTTTTACTCCCCATTTCGCCCCAGAGCCCCATTATTACTCCCCATTTCCCCAGATCCCCATTATTACTCCCCATTTTAAGTCTATTATATCTCCAACAAGACCCATTTTCCTATTCTAATTTCTAACCCACGTTATTATCTACCCACAGATCCTCAGACATGATTGTAGCGGCGTGGGTTCTCCTTACCACCCTCACTTGGTGTTGCCAAGCCCACGCAGCCCCCGTGCCGCCCGTGGTTGCCGCCCTCGACCCACCCACTGATGCCCTCTTACCCGCCCAGAGCCAAGAAGATGACCTGTTCGCCCTCCCAGAAAAAAGATTATTGAAGTACTTCCTCCCCGCCAGCCAAGCATGGGGTGGTGACGCTTACCCCATCGGCCAGGAAGGCACCAAGCGTGGTTATAGTGACAGGAACTATCTCAGGTGAGGTGATGACTTGATTACAGGTGTGAAAGAAGGTATCTCAGGTGAGGTGACGGCTTGATTACAGGTGTTATAGGAGGTATCTCAGGTGAGGTGATGGCTTGATTATAGGTGTTATAGGAGGTATCTCAGGTGAGGTGATGGCTTGATTACAGGTGCTGTAGAAGGTATCTCAGGTGAGGTGATGACTTGGTTACAGGTGTTATAGGAGGTATCTCAGGTGAGGTGATGGCTTGATTACAGGTGCTGTAGAAGGTATCTCAGGTGACGTGATGGCTTGATTATAGGTGTTATAGGAGGTATCTCAGGTGAGGTGATGGCTTGATTACAGGTGCTGTAGAAGGTATCTCAGGTGACGTGATGGCTTGATTATAGGTGTTATAGGAGGTATCTCAGGTGACGTGATGGCTTGAATACAGGTGTTATAGGAGGTATCCCATGTGAGGTGATGACTTGATTACAGGTGTTATAGTAGGTATCCCAGGTGAGGTGATGACTTGGTTACAGGTGTTATAGGAGGTATCCCAGGTAGATTAGTAGAGTTATAGGGTTTTCTTATGATCATACGGTATATAATGGTAACAGTAATGTCAGGTGTAGTAATAATGTAGTACGAGATAGTGGATAAATATTGGACATAACCTAACCTAACCTATCTACTTAAGAGAAGGTATACACTCTCTCTCTCTCTCGTCAAAACAAAAAGTAAACAAATTTATTCGTGTTTCCTTCTAACTCACAATTATTTTCCTTTACAAATTCACTAAGTCATCTCGTCCTCTCCTTCAGGTTCGGTCGTAGTGATGATAACAGCAAGAGGAGCGGCCGTAACTTCCTCAGGTGAGTCTTCTTAAACATTACCTGTCCAATTAGAACTAAACCTGTCATATTTAACGTAAACTAACCTAACCTAACTTAAACCAAGGTGATGTGATCTAATCTAACCTAAGTTGACCACCTAACCTAACCGAACGTAATTGAATCCAACGTATCCTAAACTAAACTCACCAAACTTAACCTAACATAACTTACCTAAACTAGCCCTAACCAAACCTAACCTACCGAAACCTGAAACTAACCAAACCTTTCCCTTCCAGATTCAGTTTTTCCAAAAGATTCATTGTTTTTATTTCCCTACAAATTCATAGTTTTCCTCCAAATTCATAGTTCCCCCCCCCCCAGATCTGCCATTAATTTTCCCAGATTCATAGTTTTCCCCACCAGATTCACTCTCCCCCAGACTCCTTCCAGATTCACTTCCCCCCAGATTTACTCTTCCCCCAGTTTTCATAGTTTTCCCACCAGATTCACTCCTCCCAGATTCCCCCTCCAGATTCACTTCCCCACCAGATTCACTTCCTCCCCCAGATTCCAGTTTCCCCAGATTCACCCCCCACCCCCCCACCAGATCCACATATAAGCCTCATCTCATAAACACCTTCCTTACAGATTCGGTCGATCAGACACCAACGACTACGAAGGAGAAGAGATGCCCGAGTCTCCTGAAAAGCGAAACCGCAACTTCCTCCGCTTCGGCAGAGACCAGAACCGCAACTTCCTCAGGTTTGGACGTTCAGGATCACCCATGGAATTCGCCACCGACCTTCAGGAGGATGTAGAACTACCTGTAGAAGAAAAGAGAGGCGCCCATAAGAACTACCTTCGCTTCGGCAGGGGAAACAGGAACTTCTTGAGGTAGGAGGGATTTGGAACCTTAGAGTGTGATTGGTTTAAGATAACACTGTTGGTTTAAGATAACACAGTTGGTTTAAGATAACACAGATTTATAACATAACACACAGTTGATCTATAGTGACTTAGAAGAGAATAAAGCACAATAGTTTAGGAAGAAGGTCCAGTAAGTTATGGTAGTTTAAAATTTAAGTAAAGTAGTTTCAATATAATGTAGTATTTTCTAAAGCAGTTGTAGTTCAGTAATTGCAAGATAAAGTACAGTACATTATTGTAGTTTCAATATGATTTGTAATGGTATTAAATTTAAGTATTGAATAGTACAGTAGTTTCAGCTCCAGTATTTTAGTTTCAAAATAAGGAGTTACTGTAGTTGACTTTCTCTCTTGACGATGATAAAGATGTCTCCTGGGGTGGTCGTTGATAGGCTGGCCTTTCGTTAGTGTCAGTAAACTTAGCGTTGTTTTATGTGTTCCTCAACTTGTTCGCGTCCTTTTCCTCCCGGGTCACTGGTTTACTCATGACGTGTTTCCCTGTAAGGTTTGGCCGTGGTGACCGCAACTTCCTTAGATTTGGCCGCTCCGTCGACCGTCAGCTGAGCTCCCTCTCCTGTGAAGATTGTGACGAGGAACAGAAAGCCCGCGAATTCACCTCCACTCCCTCTCCCACCACCATCCAGCCTCTGGCCCGCACCAAGCGTGACGTGTCTGCAGTCCTCAGCGACGACAGCATCGAGTCCTCTGTGTTGAGGCAAATTAATGCTCACCGCATCAAGAGAGCCGCCGCCCAAAACTTCTACATCCCTATGGCCTGGGCCAGTGAACTACAGCCCGAGGAGGACGGCATCGACGTCACATCCTTCGAGGAACCACAAGTAGCCAAACGCTTCAGCCATGATCGTAACTTCCTCAGATTCGGCAAGCGAGATGGCTCTGATGACTACCCCTCTTCCTCCTCCTCTGCTGAGTCTCCCGCACCAGTGGTAGTGGTGAGGCCCGTCGAGTACCCCCGCTATGTGAGGGCGCCTTCCAAAAACTTCCTCAGGTTCGGTTGAACTGGAGAAGATGATGATGACTTCCACCCTTACCTCAGACCTCTCCTACCCCCTAGTGATCCTCTGGACCTTACGACAATACCCATGTATACCCTAGTGTAACCTGCCTCAATGTTTGCTACCATTATTATCTTTTTCGATAATGACGAATGATTCCTCCCCATCCTCTCCATTTACACTATAATAATGTACACAAGTTATGGGAGATCAACGTCAAAAGCTCAGTGATTTGGAAGTTCAGCCAATTTATATACTGTATCTATATTAATCAGTAAACTGTGTTAGTCAGACCAGGAAATAAAGCATTAAAGTTGGTGATCTATATATATATGCAGATGATAACTACATACCCATCAACCCTACATGCAGTAACAGCGCTGATAACATTGAGATAAATGGATTACTGTGTCTCTGAGTGTACAAGTAGTGTGTCTGTGTGAACATTGTACATAAACTCCTGTGAGCCTCGGACAGGGCAAGTTAGCAGGCACTCGAGTGTGGGGTGTTGCTACCTATAAGAAATATATTTTTACTTAGAACATTATTTAACCTATATGTAGGAATATATATTTCTACTTATGAAATTACTTTAGTTATATGTACAAATATATATTTTTACTTATAAAACTACTTTAGTTGTATGTATAGATGTATATTTTACTTATATTTAAGTTACATATGTAAATAACTATTTTTTTACTTGTGTTAACTAAGTTCTAAAGACATACGAACGTTGTGTTATCACTAAGAGTTCTAAGGTTATTTACTTGACCCTAGTACAGTATAGTGTTACACCTTGGAGGTGCTTTAGTTCTGACAAAGGCTGGATATCTTTGTGAAGATCATCATATAGTTTATTTTTTTACCTCTGTTCCATTATTACTTCTAGATACTTCAACCGAGTGATATTTAAATCTAGTCAATAAATGACCTGTTGCTACTGTTTGAATTGTTTTTAATCATATTGCCTTAATCCCTGTTACGCCTCTACCGGGTACAGTACAGTATATCATTACTACATATCCGTATTGCAAGTTGGCAATTACTTCAAATACTCGTCAAGTAGTGAATACATCATTATTGTTATTATTAAGTGTACATGGCTGGTGTTATATATCATTAGGCAGTTGGGTGTGTTCGGAAGAAGGAATTTTTGATCAGGTTCTGTATTTCATTTGCCAATCATAATAGTCCACGGTTGCAAGAAGACTAGCTGTTGGTCGACGATACAAGCCTGCAAATTGATGAGTGGAAATCCTTGATAAAAAAAAAGCCGATCTGATCAAAACATTACATTCCGACACGCTCAAAAATGCGATAATCATAAACTATTTTGTTGGAAATTTGTCCTTTGAGACACCGAGGAGGGATCGAGTGCCCGCCAACTCGAATGTCATGAGTGAGCGTTATACCCGTGTTAGCAGGAGACCCGTACCGTGTGTGAGGGCGTGAGAGAGCAGTTGTGGCTCCCTCTTGTCAGTGTCACAATACTACACACTGGCTGAGACATATTAAACCGTAATCCCTGTTGGTTTTATCTCGGGAACAGTGACGAAGCAACAACCTGTTTCTTAGTCTGGGAATATTTATTAAAGTTATTGATGCTATTCATATGAGGTGAAAATTAAGCAGTTACCCGTTTTCTGATATTTTTAAAGCTGAGATGAAAATTTGAAGACGCAGTAACATTAATTTTCCTAGGTACGAGTATTTATATAACTTGAAACTAGGAGAAAACAATGAAGCAATGACCCCGTTTTTTTATATATTTTATGTGGTAATAGTTGTTGGAGTTTCATTAGAGAGATGCCTGATACTATTGAAGGAAAAACAGAAGCGGGGACTCAGTTAACACCATTCTTGGCGCGACATATAGAGTCAACCCTGCAGTTTGTTGAAATAAATGTTTATTTCTCAACGTCTTTTATTTATCCTTCATAAATACTGTATTTATTGTAGACCATTGGAAATAAGGACAATTGAATCGGGTAGTTTGAGTAGTGTGTTGTTTCTGGATTTGGTACAGTATTACAGGTAGTCTGTCTCACTTCCTTACTGTTGACAGGTACACAGTTCTTAATCTAGTATTTGTTATTATTGTTGGAGTAGTGTAATAAGTACTAATAACAAAGCTATTTATGCTCAGTACTGTAGTAACACTAACGTCAACGATAGGTACTGGCGAAGTGCCTAACATATGCCAGTGTTGGTCACTTGGGAGCTGTCATATCATGTGCCGGTACAATATCCTGAAATGAATTCTGTTCTTGTAAAAGTTCACACTGCGTTAAGGACATGAGGAATTGGTTGATTGATTACTGATTATACTGTGAGGGACACCTCCTCCCTCCTCTGGTTCCAGTGTTAGTACAGGTGAACACTGAGGCCTTCTAGGGGGTGTGGGTAGTGGTAGACACCCTGGGATGATGCCAAACTTGTACCGCGGCTCTAAGGTAGTAGGGAGAGTAATAAGTGACACTTGGTATCGTCTATTTAGTTCTCAGCACACACACACACACACAAGTGACTTTGGTGCTATCTTTGTGTTTGAAAGCATATTGATTACTAAGCCTTTGGTACACACACACAAAAAAAATGTGGTCGGTGGTACATTCGACCTCCTTCACTTCCCCATCTGTAAAGCTGGATACCCTTCCATAGCTGGTGAACCAAGCATGAACCAGGGACTCCGACTACTGTGCCCTTCACTCCCCAGCTATCACATAAAAAGTAAAAATAAAAAACATGGTGGAATAAAAATGTTCATTTGACAAAACCAAAAATTATATAACTGTAACGTTTTATTTATTTTACTATATTTTGAAGAACAATTAAGGAATTAACCAACCTGTACCAGAGTAGTAGTTTGAACAATGTCTTGGCAGTAACAGTCCATAATGCTGTACCATTAGATAAGAAAATGAAAACATCCTCGACTGTGTAAGACATTAAATGTTATACGCGGTAAATAATATGGGTATTCTGATTAACCACCTTAACGCTACCAGGGATTAGGTTATCGTTAAGATGGAACAAGCTGGGGTGTCTAATCATCATGTAATCTAAAACATGAATTTAAACAAATGAAGTGCAATAACCTCCAACCAAGAAGTGCTAATAAATAAAAAAGGATAGCTTGATAATTATTATGTATAAAAGTAGTTAAAAGTGTTGGAAATACTGAAAAGTTGTCCTGGAAAATAAACCTGTTTTTATTGTATTTTTTCACAGGAGGATCATAGAGTAAATCTGTCGAGGCCACACCAGCATCTGCATATATTCAGGTATTGTATACAGTCACTCTCCCATTATCGAAATCTAGGAAGGAAAACATCAGCTCTACTGCTTCCTTGTTGGGTGCTGTAGCGCTTCTGAGCTTCACTTTACACAGGATATAAGAGGGTGCTCAATAAACTAACCTCCTCGTTGCCTGAAGAAAATCTGAATCCGATTCTGTATAATTATAAATCTGTACAAGACAGCTTCAAAAGTACTGATGTTCTGTTGTGACCAGGAGCAGTTGATAGCCCTGGTGAGGTGATTATCTTGTTAAACTAACATATAAACGTAAAAATGGCATAAATGATCACAATACAAGATAAAGATTATAATAAAAGACAAAGTAAATTCACAAATAACTAGTTAAAGAAAAATATGTAATCGTAGAAAGAAAATTGAAAGTGTCAAGAAAATCTGGGCACTGTATGGGAAAAGGATCGAACAGCAAAAGAACATTCTCGTACAGGTTCTAGGTACCTCAAGGCGTGAAGGATCATCACTACTACACAAAATCATTTCAGAATGTGTCGTCAGTGGAATTAGAAGGTTGACTCACCAAACAGTAGTGTCTCTATCTGGACTGAGTTAGTGTGTGGGAGTCCTCGGTGAATGAGGTACGGAGAGGATTGACTTGGAGATACAATACTATAAATACGTTTGAGTATCCCCTGTACCTGTAATGTTTTAGGAAATATATAAATCATATATTAACTATTTCACGTATGGACTTTGAATCTTCTGCTTGTTTGTGTACCATTTAAGTGTCCTAACAGTTAGTCTCATGATTAATTTTCGTTAATAATTGTCAATTTTATTTTAGCTAATGATGGCTAGAAGTAATTAGAGAAAATTAATGAGACTAGAGATGACTGCCAATCCAATCGGTAAATATATTCGTAAGTGATTTTCATGTGAATCAGTAAAGCCAACCAATGAATTAGGAATCACAGCACCTCAAGAGTTCGGCCAGTGATATTAGGTTCAGTGATGGTGACGGCAAGGCGTGTGTGGTGATGCAGTAGTTGATGGCTATTTCCCTGGTTAACGTTCGCTGTTTGTGGAGGGCTTCCAGGACTCTACGTTGTGGTTATTAACAGTTGAGTGAAGGTATGTTGGTAAAAAGGTTGTGTTTTGGTACTGGTTCGGGGAGGGGGACACCAAAGAAGAGGAACTACAATAGTACTACATTCAATTAATGTTCAGCCCCTGACTGCTACGCCACCCTGGATAAGCTCCCTCATCATAGAAAACGTATGGTTACCTGAAGACGGTCTTGTCTTTAGCGTAAACTCCTATCATAGCCGTAAACGTTTTTATTCTTAGCATCCATTGTATAGAATATACATGATTGTATTTTTCCTAACTCGTACCGATGATTTACGGATTATTATTTATAGACAGAAATAAGGTAAATACGACCATTGTCTGCTTATGTATATATTTATATATTCGTGAACAATGATGTTCCTTTAATTAATAAAAAAAAGGACAATACCATGCTGTACATGCAATAACATAAATAAGGGACTTAGGCGGTAGATAAATATGAATTATGAAAACACCAAAAAGCAAGCAGCATTTGACGCTGGAGTTTTTGCAAAACTCCAAATCATTGCCCTGTTTCCTGAGCAGCTTGGTTGTGGGACACATCTTTTTTTTATTCTTGAAGTTTTGTAGAAAATGGAGACCTATTAATGGTGTCTTCACAAGAATATGATATAACTTAAACACTCCTTCATAGGATTTTGTTTTTGTTTTTTGTTTATATTAGAATTTATATTTACCATCAACAATGCACAATAAAACCGAATGATTTGTTTATCAGTGCTCCAATATCAACCACTATGGGCTACACATGTAAATAAGCAATAGTGTAGAAGATATTTTAGTGTCCGGTGCATACGAACATGGTAATTCTTTACTTTAACCCTGCACTGTTATTTGCATCGAATTGTGATTGGTAATCCAGTTTTTAATTGGTGCTAACAAAAATGTGTAAACGAATACTTGGCAACTATTATGAATCGTCAGTCATTAGGCAGAGTTTGACCTATCCTAACATAGGTGTTGTGCAATGGTGATATCTCTTGACGCAAACAAGCAAATATTAAGTGGTTAAGATTAATACCATAAACGAAGGCGAGGATGTAGTTTGTGTGGTTAACTCTCTCTAAATTATTAATGGTAACAGGCAAAGTTCATCAGCCTGGCTTAAAACATGTTGAGCATGGAGTGGGTTAGGTAGATGAGATGATGCTTGGTTGGCTTGCTTCCTCGGCCGTCATCAAATCAGGCTCCTAAATAAATGTATATCCTTGTCCAAACAACTGTTAAATGAGATTAGATGAATCCAAATAACACTGGAACAACAAGTAAGACATAAGAACTTAAGAACGGAGGAAACTGCAGCAGGCCGATTGGCCCATTCTGGGCAGTCCCGTTTACACCCAACCCCTATCGCTCTATGTCCACCCAACCTATGTTCCACTCATCCACTATTCTATTTCCAAACCAATCTTTACCTATATCGCGCCGAAATCTAAATTTGTCTAATTTAAAACCATTGCTACGAGTTCGCTCCTGGTTGGATAGTTTGAGTACTTTTGTTTAGCCCTGACTTCCATTTATACACGTCGATCATATCGCCCCTCACTCTACGTCTCTCAGGGGAGTGCAAAGTAAGATGCTTTAACCTGTCTCTGTACTCAAGGCTCTTAATGCCTGGGATTAGTCTTGTCATTCGCCTCTGAATTCTTTCTAGGGATTCTTTATCCATTCTGTAGTACGGTGACCAGAACTGAACTGCGTAATCCAAGTGATCTCACAAGTGCAAGATATAGTTTTAGGATAACCTCGCGAGTCTGGTAACTAACATTCCTTTGTATGAACTCAAGAACTTTGTTAGCCTTGTTTCGAGAGCCTTGATAAAATGTAAACCTGATGATGTGATGTGGCGATTGTGTTACCGTGTTCATTTATCGTTGGAAAAAACTCGGCTACTGACACCTGTTGCTCCTGTCAGTACATTTATAGAGCCGGGTTGTCTAAGTAACCATTTATGAAAGTACTGGAGACACGAGCCAGCGAGATCCAATCGTATAACCTTTGGTGTATATTGTTCACAGAATAGACAATATTGTTTATTAGACTATGATTTATATTCAGTGTCGCCTGTCAGCTATTTTTATAAAGTTTCTGGCATTCACTAGCGTGCGCTTTGAGAGTAATTCAGCTTTCTGCCTTTGTATAGGCTTTAACCGGTCGGCTTTCTAACAGGAATAAATTAATAGCCGGATCTGTAACCAGCTTTTTAGCCTTAACTTTTTGTTCCCTAAACCAATTATTGACAGTAAGTATATAGCGGCAAACAACAAACCGCCATTACTTCTTGATGCTGTACCGTATATTTAAACATGATAGCGTTACTAATTATAACTAACAGGTCTCCCTAAAGGCCAAGGTTACTGTTAGTACAGGTGAACACTGGACTACCTGCCACAAGACTCTTCTAACCCGAGTTTGTGTTGAGTGACGAGCCCTGTACCATGGTATTTATGGGCTGCTCAGGTAAATGCCCTACATTTCAGAATTATCCCGTAAACGTTATCAGTTCCTGTGTACAGTATCTAACAAAGCTGCCGTGTCAATAGTCATTATATTACAACGTGTGCAGTACAGGTTATTGTACTCTACATTCTACAATATTAAACACAGATTTTTTTTTACAGTATATAGTGTTTCCTCTCGTATTTTACTCAGAAACTTGGACATTTGAATATTAATATAATGTGATGTCAGATAAACATAGATTATTTAAATTTATTAAAGACATGTTCTGTTTTGCTTAATATTTGGCTGAATGTAGGCATATACGAGATTATTGAATAAGTTGAAATGGGAGATAAATTATGTTTGCTAGACTTACTGATATTTTTTTTATACGTACAATATGTGTAAATATTTAAATAGATACACAAAATTGGTTTTATTAACAAATTATTTACAATACACATTTGACTCACTGCATGTCAACAAGCAACTCCGCCCTGACGACTCTCCTTGCTGCCTCAGGTGATAAATTACCTTTATTATCACAAATCTTTTATAAATTGAGCATCATCAGGACCTGTCGAATAATATGGAACCAGCTGTTGAGAAACTTGAGATTCTTGTAAGTAGAAACGTGTCTTAACAGGTAAAAAAATGGTGTATTAGGCGTTTCATTATTTGCCACAACCGCATCTTTACTTTTACTTTACTTTTATCCTTTTCACCTACTTAGAGCATATACTTAAATACCATTGTAGTCTAAGCAAAGAAATACTTTATCAGGAGACTTGTGTGAGAAGTTTAAGGTGAATAATTATTTGATATTGCCTCTTCGTAGCCTAATTTAATTGCAGTAGAAATATGTTATGGAATTGAACCAAAATTTCTGGAGATACTATTTGAATGATCCTAAACACGAAAATGGAAACAAGAAGGCACAGAACCTAACATAACCTGAGCCTAACCAAAGAAACCTACCTAACCTCCTTGGTGGGGTACTCTGTCCCCTGGACCCCCTGGCATATTAGGCAGAAAAAACATACTTTGATATCTGGTTCCTATGAAAGCAAATATCTTCAAGCAGCATGGTGTAATTTAACTCTTTTTTTTGTTGGCGTGAGAGTACGACTAAATTTTCTGTAGAAGAAAACTTGTTTTGGTCGTTATTTGGATCTTGACTGCTGTTAGTTTGGCTGATAGTTTTGGTCTCATTTTGCTCAATGTTTGATGCTTGATGCAAGGGTGATAGTTTTTTGTTTTATTTTTTGCAGAAATGGCAAAAAGATTTTTTTCAACTTCCAAGTTGAGAATCACAAAGTAATTTTATTTATTTTTTTAATATTACTACGGCCGTTTTCCGTTGAAAAGCAACAAATCATAACCTTACCTAACCTAACTTAACCTTAGTCATGTTGCCATGCAATGAAGTCACAGAGTGGCTGGTGCGGAGCATGATCGGGAGTTCAGAGGGGCTGGGACGATATCAACTTCAGTCGATAACTTTCCTCGCTGACAAAAACTTCTCAACTCGTAAGTTGAAAAAAACACTTCTTTTTTTTTGTATTTCCACAAAAAAAAAAGGTTATCCCCATTGCAAATTTGTGGGGGAAATAAGAGTAAAATTGAACATGTGAAAATGCAACAAATATAATATTTTACTGTACTGTAAAATGTCCACCAGAGTAAAGGTTTACAACAGGAGCACCACTTAAATGTGTGTGTGTAGTATAATTATTATTAAGATGTGCTGTTCTGTACTTGTTGTTTATGTCAGCATTACAAGTTTTAAAGCATTTTCATTTGGTTGCAACTGAAGTTATTGTACTGTGTATTTACAGTATATGTGAGTGTATGTGTCGTGGGGGTTTAGTTCTCCTACCATTCTTCTTACCTGTATCCTGCTGGTAACTTCAGGCAAGTATTTAAGAGTAGCCTCCAATGTCAAACAAAGATTACTTACAGAATTTGTCCCTATTGCACATGGATTAATGACGGTCATGTGAGGTTAATAGATGGATAAATAGATGCATAAATACTCATAAGTGTTTGATTGTTTGAAGTGATATTTGAGACATAAAGAATAATATATTACAAACTTCATAAACTGCAATAAAAAGCTTGCTAATGACTGCTAGAATGCTTCAACTTAGTTTCTTTGGTTAGCATACTGTTTTGGTGTTATCAGATGAGTAAAACATGAGAGATCTTCCAAAATTAGATGTGGCAGCTATAACCCACATTACAGTACTCTCATATCCTAGTTAGACATGTAAATTGGCAAATTGCTTTTCTTTTAAGCGGTACTGTCTGTGTTGGTTACCTGACAGTTGACAACAAAGTTAGAAACTATGTATTTAAAATGGTTTTCTCTTGGAATGATCAGGTTAATAATATTTTTAGACTCGTGGATAAACAAACTTTGAATATTTTGTGCTTGGTTTCTGTTCTATCGTGAATGTGAATGTCTTAACAAACAACTAAGTCGTCTAGATAAAAATTTACAATCAGTACTCATACAATTACTTGGTTCTTCATTTACATAGGATTTTATATTTTTTATTTCAGTTTGGTAAGGCAGAAAGTGAGCTGGCAACACTGTCTTGTAAGGTTGACCAAGAGTACACTGCTTTAGCTTCTGCACAAAGAAGTAATTCACAGGTTAGTGTATTATCTTATGGTATAAGCTACTCAAATTATTTTACTGTCAGTTTTCACCATTTTTAACCAGTATTTCACAGCAGCAGTATAATTACTAGGCCTACCACCCGGTGTGGCAGGTTTTAGAAAATTTTAAATAAATTGGTACTCATATTTAAATTATAAATAAATAGTCACACGTGATCATGATTGTGTGGTCCTCGTCTGGACACAGGTACCGGTAACCTCGTAGTGAGTGTGTTGCATAATAACATGTGTTCTGGTGCAGGGTGTACTGTACCTCAGTCCATAATGACAAATGCATAATGAAACCATGTGTATCTCCTCTTCTATGTATTATATTTTTCCTTAAATTCACCAGTGGTTCTTATATCATGCTGTTTATATATATATATATATATATATATATATATATATATATATATATATATATATATATATATATATATATATATATATATATATATATATATATAACATTAATATTCAAGTGAAAATAACTTTTTAATGCATTGATATATAATTATGGCAAAGCATACAAGCAAATTATTGGATGTGTAGTGTATCTGTTGCACCTCCACCACACGGGAGCACCACACTCACAGTCGGGTTTTGTGTCTTTTTCTTATGGACACAACTTACACACTACGTTACTACATACACTCGGAGAGGGACACTGCTCTGTCAACATTCGTATATTGTTCGCTGTTGCCTTTCCTGCCTCCTGGTTGTGTGGTCATATGCATAGCATATTCTGTGTCCCTTGACAAATTCAACAAAATGCCTCTCCACCAGACATAAGGCATGTGCTCCAATTTGGCTAGTTGTTTGATGTCATCCACGATAAAACCGTTTATCATTTTCTGGACACAATTTTTCAAGTCCAGCATTGGCTGGTTACTACAGTATCTGTTTTCACTCCTTCTTTGTAATCCTTACTGTCAAGATATAAAGTAATACATATGCAGTAGACTTTCCATATAATGCAAGAGTGGGACTGAGAATTGTCACATAATATTGAATTGCGTTATATCCTTCTAGGTATCTCAATAGGAAATATAGGGCACAGGACTGCAGCCTCTAAATGTACACTAAAAACTTCCTATGACACCAATTTTCCTCATGTCAACACTAATTACATCGTTTCAAAGCAGAATTTAACAAATTATAACTCACCTTGAGTCTTAACGACTGCTACTGGACTGCAGTTGTTTGGACTCAAGATGAGTGATGGAGTAGTGGAACTTGGGGTATGGTGAATCATCTGTAATCTGTGTAGGTGCTGGCTAGTGATAGCCAGCCAATCAGTGACAAAGATTGTTAGTTTAAATCTGAAAATGGTAGTTTTGGGTATTTTGAAAATGTAATAGAGTGTAGTGCAGACATCCCCCGGGTTATGTAAGGTATGTGTTCTTGAAAATTTGTCCGTGACTTGACGCCAATTTCCCCCATAGACTTCCATTATATAATTGGAGATGCGTTCCCAAGGTAATTTTTTCGTCAAAAAGACGTAATACAAGCACATATATGAATGAAAAGAATTTATTTTTAACACTTACATTGATTATTTTATGATACAATATGTTCATAAATATACAAAACACTTCACAAACAATGTTGAGTGCTGCGTTAGGTGAGGTGGTGAGGTAAGGTGGTGCAATCGGAGTTACTGGGAGGGAGACGGAGGGTCACTACTGGCTCCTGCCTCGCCCTGTAAACCATCATCATTTGCTTCATCTGCTACAGGTCTTGTTCTTGGGACCAGAAACTTGTCCAAAGCTGTTTGGCATTTATGGCACATTTTGTCCTTGTACAACTCCCTGTAGCAGTTGAGGCTATTCTGCATTTCTCTTGAAACTTTGAGGTTGCGTTCACAATTGGGATCGTTAGTAGCAAAGATTTGCAAAGCTTCCTCTGGAACTTCTATATCCTCCTCTTCTCCTGCAACTGTTCCACCAGCATCAGATCCTCATTAGACAGATCTTCTCTATGGGACTCAACCACGTCATCTTGTATGACTTCTTCAAAGCTTACATTATTTACAAGTGTCACAATGTCTTGCTGAACTTTATTAATGGTTTCTGCTTGGGGAAAACCTTTAAAGTTGTTGATGCACTCTGAAAAGGTTTTGCATCAGAACTTGCACATTGTTCTTTCTGCAAATCCTCATACAAACTTTTTGCTTTTTTCCTGAATGATTATCGTGCTTAGCGGCACATTCCGATTTGTTTGATCTTCAATCAACAAATTCAAGAGTCTTTCCATATTAAGCATCACATCACTTCTATGAAAAAACAATGTATGGGCAGTTAAAGGAGTAGCCAAATGAGCACTTGACCTAATTTTGTCTCTATTATCACGTATTGTGCACACTGTAGCAAGGCCTAATGTTTTTACAATCTGGCTAAGTTTTTCTCCCGCATGAAACCTCCGTAAAACGTCAAGCTTAATGCCCAACACAATTCCTTTACTGGATCTTTTAGCTCCACTGCTCTCACTTGAACTTGATGGCCTCTTTCCACTCATCTTGAATAAGGGTAAACAGTAATACAGTCCTGAACACAGAAGTATGTAAGTGTTGTGAGACCAAAAGCACAAGACCGCACGTGAGTTCAAACAGAGCGGGTTGGCGTGGCGTGGGTACGCGGCATCCCCACTATACAGTCTTGTAGTAACTGCCAAGAAATGCACCTGAAAGAAATTTTATAATTTGTGAATTTTGTTCTAATAGTACAGGTACATGTATTGGAAAAAAAAAATAGCTTGTAATATTTATATCCAATTTCCGTAATGGCAAATTTTTTGTCCATATCCCAGATATATGGGTCATAATTTACAAAATCCGTAAGAGCGAATTCCGTAACCCGAGTTGCCGTAACCTGGGGGATGCCTGTATGATATAATCTCTGTAAACTTGTCATAAATTACACATTATGGTTGTGTTTTGCAAAATATTGAAGGTTCATTACAAATATAAATACTATACTGTATTTGTCATCTTTTGATATTACACAAGAAAAAATTCAAATTGCTTTTGCTGAACTAGAACCTTATACTGTAGATGTGTTGTTTACAGCACGTATACAATTATTTATGCAGAAATCACCCCAGATCATACTGTACATAATGGGTGCTAAAAGACCTGTCAGCATTTCACCTTGTGTCAAGAAACGGCAAAAGAGTCATTTTAAAGGTACTGTATAATTAAACATTACAGTATTAGACGTCATGAGTGTGGAGAAGGAACAACAGTTGAGGAGCAGCAGTGAAAGAGAACATTCAAACACTTCTCTGTGAATCACTCATTATCACAACTTATATACAGTAACTCTTTTATGCTTTCTTACAGTTATTACCTACTCACTTATTGTTTTAATGGTGGTAAAAATGGATATAGGTGGAGGTAGTGGCGCAACTATTCTGGAGTGCTACTAAATTCCATAATCCTTAGGAATTTACTATGATTATGACAATTAAAACGGGTAATTGTAAGAAAAACACTTGCTTCACCTTACACAGAATGTGCCAAATTAACTGTCGGATGACCACCAAATCTAATGTAAAGAAAAAATATAAGGTACTGTAAAGTGCTAGAATAATACACAGCTTGAATTTTTCCACGTGAAGACACTGGCAGCAATACATGTACGGTAAGTCCTCGCTTAACGTCGGGGTTACGTTCCTAAAAACGCGAAGTTATACGAAAAAACGTTAAGCGGATCAATTTTCCCCATAAGAAATAAATAAAATACGGGAGTTACGTTCCTGAGCCTCCCTTTGCCCCATGAAAAACATTACATATACAGAAAATCATTGCGATTTATATATAAAATATTATAGTACATTACTGTATTAAGTTTGTATTGGTACTCACCGATGGGCGGAGGTGGTGGAGCAAGTGTGTGGTATGGTAGTGAAGCGGAGGAGGCAGGAGCGGAGGAGGGCGGGAGCGGAGGAGGGTGGTGAGTCACTGAGACTCTGCAGCTGCCTCCTCCTGCTCTGACTGGGGTTCCTCCGCCGCTCTTTGCTCCTCCTCTGTTGTTGTTTGCTCCTCCCCGGCTGCCAGCTGTCGTGAAGAAGCTGCTTCTGCCGTCCTGTGATGAACAAATGAATCCAGTGTTGACTGCTTGGTGCTACTCTTCTCCTTATAGATCTCAGTGTAACAACCAAGACTGTCATCATTTCTGTGTTGAATCTTTGAGCTACGTTCCCTATTTGGGTCGTCATCTGTAAGGATTTGCATTGCTTGCTGGAACATGTTGAGCGATTCTGCCATCCTCTTGGAAGTTTGCGTTTGTTGATGTTCTTCTTCGTTGTCATCTTCAATGGGACTGTGTTCTGTTAGTTTTTGCAGATCTTTTTTGGTGAGCTCTTCTGTATGGGATGCCAGGACGTCCTCAATATCCTCTGATTCCAGCTCATCAAAGCCTGCTTGTCTAGCCAAGCCGAGGATATCCCTATTCATAGCTGGGACTAAGTCCGTGAATCCCGAAAAACTGTTGACGCACTCGGGCCACAATCTACCCCCACACACCAATCAGGCAACTTTCGGAAACCTCTTCCCATGCCTTGCCAATGTTGTCAAGTGCATGAAGAATGTTGAAGTCACTCTAATATTCTCGGATCATGGGTTTCTTTTCTCCATCTGTAGCCTTGAGCAGCTGGGCCATGGTATGGCATAATTAATACGCCTTGAACGCGCCGATGACGTCTTGGTCTATAGGCTTCATCAGTGCTGTTGTGTTGGGAGGCAGAAATACAACTTTTACACTCATGCAAGTCGTCGAGATTGAGAGGATGAGCTGGAGCATTGTCAATGATCAGAAGAATTTGAAGTCAAGGTTCTCCTTGGCACAGTATTCCTTCATTGCAGGGACAGCGTACACGTTTAACCTCTGGCTAAATATGGCGCCGGTTATCCATGCCTTTTTGTTTGCCTTGTAAATGACAGGAAGGTGATCCTTAGAGTAACCTTTCAGGACTTGTGGGTTAGCAGCGCGAGAAATCAACATCGGCTTCAGCTTGAAGTTGCCGGCAGCGTTCACGCCAAGCAGCAGCGTCAAGCGGTCGTTTTAAAACCTGGCGCTCTTCTCTTCTCCTTGGAGATGTAGGTCCTCTCAGGCATCCTCTTCCAAAAGAGACCAGTCTCATCCACATTGAAGACTTGCTTCGATGAGTATCGTCCTTCCTGGATAATCCGTTTGAATTCTTGCGGGAATGTCTCGGCAGCAACCGTATCTGAACTGGCAGCTTCACCAGTCATCTTAATATTGTGGAAGTTTACCGACGCTTAAAATATTGAAACCATCCTCGGCTGGCCATAAAGGTCTCTTCCTTCGATCCTTCACCCTCTTCTTCCTTTATGTCATCAAACAAGGATCTGGCCTTATGCTGGATAACCATAAGGCTCACAGGCGCATTGTGTTGATTCTGGTCCTCCATCCACATAGCCAGCATCTTTTCCACTTTTTCGATCGCAGTGCTTCTAGTACGAGTTGTTTTAGTTGCACTGAGAGTAGTACCACTTCCAGCACTAACCTTAATCTTGTCAGCATTGGTCCGGATAGTACTCACCGTTGTGGGGGCTAGACCAAGCACAGAGGCTATGTCCAAAACGCAGCCTAATACATCCATTTTCGTAGCAAAGGTAATGGTCTTAGGTTGCCTCTACACTGCACTAGGATCAGTAGCACTTGATGGGCGCTTGGAAGCCATTTTGAATGGTTATAGTACAGTTTTAGAGCAAAAGCACTTATGCACACACGAATGATGTGAAGTCGTAACAGAGACTGACTTGGAGTCGCCTGGGGGCGCTGTGACGTTCCGCGAGTGAGGGCAGCGCGCCGAGCCGAGAGAGCGTAGCGCCGCCAGACAAGAGCGGTGTGATGCGCCGTAGAAAGTAGTCCGTGACGACACAAAACGACGTAGTATCGGATCCCCGGGACGTTAAACGAATTTTGGGTCTCTGATGTTTAGCAACGTAGCACCGAAACAACGTTAAGCGGGACGACGTTATACGAGGATGCACTGTATTGCATAAGATCAGGAATAACTCCGGTAATGTTGGTGGACGGCTGAAAGTGAGAGGACCGGCAGAAAAACTTTGTTTTATGGCCTCATTGGACCTTGAGTCATCTACCAGATCATATACTAGTGTTGAATCCTTAAACCTGGTGCACTTCAGTGAGACAGTGTTACCTGCAGCAAAAATAATATTATATTGTCTATTTAGATAGTGGTTCCAGCCATTAAACATGCCAGGCCCTCAGTCAGAAAGTGTCTTAGCTGATGGATCTTGCAGGTCATTCATTGATGCTCTTTTGGTCATGAAAATAATGTAATCACTTTCACGCCTGGTTCGGTGAACAAGTGTTAACAACCCAGGCCCTGACGGCCAAGGTTGAAAGTTGTAGACATTTTGGTAAAATATTTGGCATATTCTGTTGCATGTGGAGGGTGTGTTAGAGATACTGTACATTCTTGGCATAACCACAATTATCTGAGTGTTATCTTAAGGGTTACTCCTTTATCAGTAGCTACAGTAGTAGTAATCCATAATAGTGTTGTTTTATCTGATATATTATCCATCATGATGGGACTATGCATTTGTCAATCACTTGACATTTCTGATTTAATATTTTTTAAGAAAGAATGGTATCAGATAAGCATAATGTAACTTTGTGGTTAATCAGCATTGTTAAATGTCAGTTTTATTGTATGATTGTTTTATAATTGGCTGGTCTTATCAGAGATCTGTTAACTTTGAGAGATGGTTCTTTGGTGTGCAGTTTTGTTGTGAGTGAAATGAACTAGTACAGTACCATGACTCAGTGTACAAGATAGGACATGATTAATGTGTTTGTGTTTAGGATGATGTGATTGAGAGTAGTGTCTTTACTCTTATTATTTCAATTTATCTTGTTGTTCTTAGATTAATATAAACTCAGATCCAGTCGTGTAAAGATTTAAATATTTTAGCTTCATGGTTGCAGGTTTCCATAAAGATTTGATATATTTTTATGGTTGCAGGTTCCCTCAGGTCTTATACGCAATGTCCAGAACCTCAGATCTGAGCTGAATCAAGTATCGGTAGAAGTATTGGAATTTCAAAAACAGCAGCAAGCTGTTATGTTGTCTATGCAAGCACAGCTGAATACACTCTGCAGTCAGTTTGATGACCTCAGTAGCCTTACTGGCCAAGCTGCTGTTGATGAAGGAAGTGGCAAGGAAAAGGCCTCTAAGTGATTCATGAAGTACGCTACAGTACAGTATCGCGTATTGGACAGTTTCATCAATATACAATACTGTGTCTGCTATATAAGCAACTGATCAAGAAATTCTTATGATAATTATCAATCATTTATGAGTAGCTAGTCTTATGAAGTATTATTATACTGTAATCCTTGAAGTGCAGGTATTCACACAATTTTGAGGTGATAACATTTGTACAAAATGGGCGACGAGAAGAATTTCCGCAGCCAGTTTTATGGAAAGGTTGGATTACGTGAAATTGAAGATAAAAGAGCCGTGGAAGCTTTGCTGAAGGAACAACCATTAGACGAGAAGAAATTTGCTCATTTTTGCCAGCGTTCAGTTGTTCCAGGTGCATACCGAATTTTGGTGTGGAAATTATTGCTGCGTATATCTCCTCGCTATGCCGAGTCACAAGATTATGTACAACAGCAACAAACTCTCATGTTTGAGGAGCTTTTTGGTACACTTAAAGGTGTGGGTAATGCTTATATAGCAATCATGGGAAATGATATAAATGATCACTGTCTTCCAGACTACTACAAAGGTTACCAGGAAGCTCCGGTTGCTGAGCAGTACCTTGTTATGTGGTTAATAAGAGAAGGAAAGCTTCTTTACAACTCAAGAGAACAATTTAAGGAAAAGGAATGTCAACATTTCCTCACAATTGTGAAAAAGATTTCATGTTTCTTTGATAACCCAGTTGATATTTTTCTTGTATGTTCCTCTGTTTACTCTTTACTCTTGAAAAATGAAAACAACATCGCAGATGCCGTACAGGACGCCATCGGTATGTTGCGTAAGGAAAATGACATTCTTCATCGTCACCTTTTAAAGTTGGGGCTCTTCAACAGTAGTTACCTAGTAAGCCTGTGCATGAGTCTCTTCTGTGACATCTTCCCTGAGACTGCTATAGAGAAAATCATGGATAAGGTGATTGCTGGTGCATTTAGGGTGTTTGCATTTGTTATTTTCTCCTTGCTAATGTACTTCAAGCAACATTTATCATCTGTATCTACTGTAGAAGGTGTCAAAAGTGCTATAAGTCTTCTTCGAAAGGAGGAGGCGGAAATTCTTGTCAATTCAGCCTTAGAACAATGGCTTAAAATTGGTATGATCAAAAGGCAGAGATGTACGTGCTCAGAATTGCTATGGAATTCACCATATCTTCACTGAATTATTCAACTATTGGGAAGATATATTTTATATTATGCATAACCTGATTAAATAAAGTTATTCTGTCAGTATAGGAGTGTATGGTTTGTGTATTCCATACTTTAAAAGGAAAGTTCACCACACTTTATAGCGCACAAATTATATGTATTATCTGTAAATTTTAATTCATACCTTTCTTTTTCTCATAACTTATCAAGGATAAATAGAATTTAGTTAGTACACATGATGATCTCAGTTGTATGAGGCATGGCTCTGTTAGCTTGTTACAGTACTGTAGTACTTGGAGGAGAATATCTGAAGGTGAAGTATAGGAGTACCTTAATTGGCTGGAAATAACTCAGAAGCATGAATGATATACAACCTTGGTACAGTAATATGAACTAGACATCAGTGGCTCAGAACAGCTGGTGATTCATGGTTTACAGAATGGATTATAAATAGAATAGGAAATACCTACGGAGTAATAAAAGTAATATAAAAAACATTCGTCATACATTTACATGGATACCATGACCTTTATATCATAATAAATCAAACTGGCTTACTGTCTCTTCCTTGATATTTAGATTTTAAATCGTCCAATGCAGCTGATCTGAATTTCAAGTACTGTATAAAGTAACTGTCAGTGCAGCACTTTTGACACAATCGATTTCCATTTGACAAATGGCACGTCTGCAATCAACAGCCAGTGGCGGACTGCTCCATATGTGGTGTGTCCACAATGAAGGGGTTAAGGGATGATAAATTGTAAGTTGTCTTTAATTTCTCTTACTCTCAGGCTTTTGGTGAACATATGTTTTCTGTGTCCATTTTATGGTCATTTTCCACACTTTCATAGGTTAGCCATGGTTACCTGATGGCATGTTGTACCATTTGCCATCAAGCAAGTTGTATGCTGAATGCTAATTCACTTTCACAGAGTGGGAACTGGACATAACCGTATACTGTACCGAGTATGTAAGCTACCAAGCGTCCTCTAAGCTGGTAAGGCAGGGCTGCTGCTTCCTTAGGTAATCAAAGATTACCTGTTTATCTGAAATTTGTTTAATTAAATAATTCAGCTTAACCTGAAGACCACCAAGTCCTCAACAGCTGTTCCCTAAGCTTGACCACCACCTAATATTTTCACCTCAAGCATGTACTGTACTCCCTCAATGCCTGTATGTGGGAGTTAACTAAGAAGTCATGCTCTGTGAAGTTGTTCTCACACAAACTAACACATTAGTAATAGTCCATCTGACTCCTACATTACATAACCATTGTGTCATTATGTCCAGTCTTTTCTGGTTTATTGTTTTAGGATCTGGAGCCTTGAAATAGCCAACTCTTTTGTCGTTTTTAACTTGCTTGAAGTTCAGAAGAGCTAATGTCATATCATAACCATTCTTGTCATGACATTATCACAGTTGGCTCTATTTCCATAACCCCTGAACCAACAACTGTACAGTATTTATATATTTGGATTAAAGATCATGGTGTCCTGCAGGTGAGGCACATTGTCTTCATACAACACTTGTTTATTGCTGAATCAGTCACAAACTTGACTCTAGCTATATTGGCAACCTCTCTGCTGGGTATACAGTAGATTGATATCTTCATGTGTTTCGGAAGTGATTTTTCAGTGTGTGTGTGTGTGTGTGTGTGTAACATTTTGGTGGTAAATTAATGAATAGTGTAATGTGGTAGACTTTCCTCTTAATGTCCTTGCTGAAAACTAATAAAGATACAACTAAGATTCCTTGATGAATATCTTCCCACAAAGTTGTTTGTTGTTAATCATGTGCAATTTTTCTCCACAAAAACAAAAAAATCTTAGAATATTGTTGAACATATGAAAGGAAGTTTCTTGTATATTTTTACCAGTAACATGTATTTTCTCAATGAATGTTTAATGCAAAGTCTGAACTACTTTTATTTGTCCTTATATGCATGTAAGGTATTTGTTATCATTAGGTTAAGCTAAGAGACAGAACAAAAATTCAGTTTTGAACTAACATTCTGAAAACATTGATGACTAGTTTAGCAATAACATTAATTTTTCAATATGCTGTTCAGTGGCTTGGGGAACAAATTCAACCAGATCATTGGAATATTCTTTGAGGTTAGGAATTATAGGTTGAAATTTTATTTTATTACTCTTTGATTCCAGGTACAATACTGTATTTAAAAGGAGTCTTCTTGTTACATGTTGATAATTCATGCATCACTGGTCATTATGGAAGCCATAAGAGAATTTCTTCACTTTAATTGATGTTTCTTTCTGATGTTATATCATGTGGCTTGTCAGACATGCCTTTTTCATAAAGCAGTTCCTCTCTGTTTGCATGTGTTTGGTTTAGACCATTTTTAGAATAATGCGTACGGTTCCCTTACACTTTTTTAATTTACGTACAAGAAACACTTAGGTCAAGGGTATGCAGCTTCCTGCCTTGCAGTCCTTAGTGCGTGGTTACAGAGTATAGTCACGGAGTGCTACATTTTTTTGTGTTGCATTATACTGTAAATTGCATGTGTTTTGCCCTGCAAGCTGGGGACTCAGCGCTGGGGAGAGAGGTCGTCCTCCTGACCTGGGACTCGGCCCGAGTGTGATTCCGATGGCTGTGGATTGTTTGTGTCTCTTTGTATGAGCTGTAGGCCCCATTTTATTGGGGAGTTCAGGGTTACATGCTATTACCAGGCCATTGTTGCCGTGTGCTTGGGGGTCACGGGGTTTGGTGTACTGTATTGGTACTTGTCGTAGCAGGTCTGTCCTGGCTCCTCCTTACCTATACAGTACCTGTACTCATATGGGTGTGTCTGGCCTTTGTCCCTTGTTATCATGTGTGTGGTGTACTGGTCATAATAGGTCAATAATTACTGATATGTATGCCATTCTCCTAGCTTGGATAGCTTTGGTCTGACAGACACTTACTACGGTACTGTACCACATAAATCATAACACTGAAATCCTAATGTTAAAACAGAAAAATGAGATCACTGTATATTTTGACAGTAACCTGTGGTCGAAATATACAGTGCTCTCATTTTGTTTTACTTAATACATATGGAGAGTTTTCAAAGTTGATTTGTCTTGATTTGGCTAAATGTTTTAGTTTTGAATAACTTAAGTTATTAATAGCATGGTTTGGACTTTTCGTTGTGTGAACCCGTGATTTAGCAGCAACTTTTGACGTCTTGTTCTTGTATGGTTTATTCACAATTCCATGACATTGCTTTATTTTTGTAGGAGAGATGAACAGGGTGCAATATTTACAGAATGCACCATCATGTACTTTAACTATACAGTAGTCTCGATTTACGCGGATTTCCTTTACGCGGTTGGTCATTTATGCGGCACCGGGCCAGACCGGCAATTATTAGTTATGTGGTACATTCCATCATTTACGCGAGAAGCGGCGTGGGCAGGGTGCGCGCTAGGTCACCCAATCAACAAAACATTACCGAGTTCTTCACCCACCACAGCCAGCCCAAGTCAGTGATAGTGAGGATATGGACTTTGAGGGGTTTGACAAGGAGGCCCTGCTAGCCTCTGTGGTGGATAGTGATACAGGTGGGGGCCAATAATCTGCCCTCTGCCTCGGAACCAACCCCCCATCCCCGTGTGCCCAGGCATCTCTTCTACTTTCGTTAGTGTTAAAAAACCTAATAATATTGATATTTCTCTTAAATATTAATTGTGTGTGCATACCATCATAAAATTATGATGTTATTTTTACTACAACGTAAGTATTTTGTCGGAAAAAGGGTAGTCTGGGGGTCGGCCCAGTCTCTAGTTCAATTAATCCCATATGTTCTGTTATTTCGTTTACGCGTTTCTCGTTTTACGCGGACCTCCACGGGTTTAATTGACCGCGTAAACCGAGACTATACTGTATACATTTTTTGGCCCCTCACCTCCTCTCCTGAGAGTTGCTGGACCTAACACACTTTGTTATATGTAGCATTACAGATGAAGGGGTGAACACTGTATACAGTACACAAATTAGTCTTTTCATATTTTTATTTCAAATAGATGTTTACTTGAAAGGTACAAGCATACATTATGATTATTTTATATATATATATATAGTCTAATAGTTTGCTGGCTACACTTGCAAGCTACTTTTTTGTAGTTAGTGTACCATAATTACCACATTCAAGCTAATCCTTTTCTTAAGATAAAACAAATATATAAAATACTAATTTTGAACATTTCCTTTGTATGTGATTATGCTAGACTATGTAAGTGTTTTGTCGTACTGAGTTATTACAATCTACCCATGCATTGATAAGAAATTACAAAATATCCACATACCCAAAATATTACTATATAAAAAGATAACAAAATGTAAAATTATAACAAGAATTAAGACAAAAATATGTAAATGGCTAAAATTAAAAAACTTAAAAGCTTTTGTATACAAATATATATACAGTCTGTGAAACTCAAGACAACACAGACAGTCTACACCATGCATGAAACAACTACCATACCTACATGTAGACTTGCCATCAACATGTTAACTTTGCAGTTTAAAAAATATAAATGGAAAAAAAACAAGCCAATAAGTAATCTTCAATAATTTACATCTTTCTTTAGATATTCCTTTACTTCTGTCTCATATTTTTATCTTGGAGATTCAATCTTTCAGATGGTATTTCCCTATACTACTGTAGTCTGTTGTCCATGTTTCAAGTAGTAATAATATAACCATCATACTCTGACAAGAATAATTTGATTTGATTTAACCCCCTTGTGTATGGGGGTCTCCTTTCTACTGAATAATATCTAATGGCATTAGCCAAATAAAATCTTAAAAATGACATCCCCATATTTAAGAGGTTAAGGATAGGTATGATGGTAAAGTATTTTCTTCGTGCAATTACATTTTGCTTGACACTTGATTATTTCTTTTACCCTTTCTTCACTACAAACCAATACTGTAGTATAAATACATAGTTGTGTTTGATGTACGGTAGCTAAACCAACTATCTGTGCAGGTGGGGGTCGATATGCTCCA